TTTTCTTCTCCAAGACAGGTTCTGCATTAAGTTTTTCCCTTCATAAATTGCCAAAACTTCATAGGAAAAATTCTGGCACCAGCAATATTTTCCTGGGAAGCATTGGTGATGGTTCATGGAGGGAAAAGCAAGGAGGTGGGGGCTGCATGTTATGCTGAAAAAAATCTTTGGTTGTTCTTGTTTCTTCCTCTGGTTTTGTGGGGAGGTGCATGCTACCCCTCTTAACCCCTTGGATGGCAGGTTTTGTGCATGATATCAAGACATGCTGGTACTGAAGAATCTAGATATAATAAAGCATTTGGGAGCATTTGGACCTCAAAAAAAGCTTCGTTTCATGAAGGAAAATTCGCTGAAAAAAAAGCAGAATGGCCTGCTTGTGGCTATTTGACATGGACCAAAAATAGGAATCGTTGTTTAAGCATGAATTTTTCATGACAAGATACGTTGTGTAATGAGACTCTATGGTATTTTTTCATGTACAGTAGTCTTACCTGATGCAACCAAGTCAGAGATGATCACTGTTGCAGTCAGCAGCACTCCAACAAAATCCAATAACCGCATAGTTTCGTGTTATGCTCTTTTTCTATTTTCATGACTATCACAGAATAAATAAATAGCTGGGCTCATTATTACCTTTCGAGCATTGAAATCTACCAATGTAGCGTTCATTGCATTCATGGGGCAAAACACAGACCACACACCCTGGCAGATTATTATGTATTGTACTCTTGTCTGTAACATCACATGAAGTTCAACACGGAAGGAACCGTTTAAAAAGGGTCTTCCACTCCTTCACTGGAATAAAGAATTGATCACAGAGTCAGGGGAGTTCTGAATGCTCCAAAGTAAACACCAGTTCAAAAGTTTTAAGTTACTTGTGGAGCACTTAGAAGTAAACACCTTCTCGAGAGTTTAAGGTTTCATAACGTGGGGTTGAGCAATAAAAGTACAGGAATATCTGTTTCAATTTTATTCAGATTGTTAAAGGTGGACGCGAAGCTGTAATGGTATATGAAGGACTATTTTTCTCTCGCTGTGGTATGAGCTATTAACTCTAAAGGATCTTGCACAGAATTTATCAGATGCTGAGGCAGAATTAGGCATCCTACGTCAGTTTTAAACTACAGTATAATAAGTGGGAAACATTTTGAAAATAATTTTATGAAGTGAAAGCAAAGTTATTGTTGATCAAGTCGCTCACTCATATATTGGCTGGCTGACTTTCAGCCTTCCAATGATGTTTTCCTAATTTGGATCGTTNTTTTAAACTTGATAATTTCTCGCGTGACACCGAGCAAGTTTCGCGTTTTTGGAATTGCGGCGATCTTTTCGGGCGGAGGAATGTTTTTGATGATTCCTCGGCAAAAACAATGTTTTCGAAGTTCTTATCTGTCTTGTACAGTCCTTGGAGGATTTCCAATTCCTTCAGAATTTCTTGAAAACTTGTAATAACCCCTTCTCGGAAACCGTTTCCGATTTCTATGTGTGGTGCATTAGTGTGTCCACAGCAAGTCCGATTTTTCAGCTTTGATTCTCTGTCATGCTGTGTTGATATTCCCTTTTGGAATAGATGCTTCATGTCCGAAGTTTGATGCTCGTCAATTGAAAACAGCATGGCTTGATCAGTAGATGCGTTGGTAACACTGCCGATGTCGTTTTTGGTTTGATGAGTTTCTGAACGTTTCCCGAATAAAGAACTCGGCTTCTTCGTTTTCGTTTCAGAATTTGTATCAGCTGCATTGACAGCTTGCAGTTTTGAATTTGTGATAAACACGTTTTTGTTCAGTGACGATGAGATGAACTCCGCGGGCGAAGGAAGAATCTGCGCATCATCTGAAAAAATGCAATTGGAACAAAAAATAATAATTTATTACTTCCAGAAAGAATCAGTGAAATTAGCTGTGGTGTGGATAAGGCATCGAAAATCATGACACAGCTCATACAACGGATATGAAACATTGTATTTCTCTTCTATATCATTTCAGCTCAGGTTTTCCAAACGGCGTCTCTCTGATTTCTTACAAAACGACGAATGGTTCCTAACTGATCAGCAATTCCTTGCTTTTTTGTTGCTGCTTATAGTACCTCTCTGTCTTCATCGATGAATGCTGAAACATCCCATTGCTCAAGAATCTTACTGGATTATTTAATCACTTTCCAGCACTTTGCCATATATCACATTCAGTAGCCCTCACAAATGACCTTCCCTCCAAAAGCTATGCAGAGCAGCTCCAAATTTTTTTTTCTCGAGTAATAGTGTATTGTAGTCAAACCCCATGAAATCAGCACTTCAGTACCCACCAGCATTTTGTCCCCAACAAATCAGTCTAATGCAGAAGGGTTGGCAAAACCTTGAAATGCCACCAACTGCAATGGTTTTTCTTCTCCAAGACAGGTTCTGCATTAAGTTTTTCCCTTCATAAATTGCCAAAACTTCATAGGAAAAATTCTGGCACCAATATTTTCCTGGGAAGCATTGGTGATGGTTCATGGAGGGAAAAACAAGGAGGTGGGGGCTGCATGTTATGCTGAAAAAAATCTTTGGTTGTTCTTGTTTCTTCCTCTGGTTTTGTGGGGAGGTGCATGCTACCCCTCTTAACCCCTTGGATGGCATGTTTTGTGCATGATATCAAGACATGCTGGTACAGAAGAATCTAGATATAATAAAGCATTTGGGAGCATTTGGACCCCAAAAAAGCTTCGTTTCATGAAGGAAAATTCGCTGAAAAAAAAAGCAAAATGGCCTGCTTGTGGCTATTTTACATGGACCAAAAAAAAAGGAATCGTTATTTAAGCATGAATTTTTCATGACAAGATACGTTGTGTAATAAGACTCTATGGTATTTTTTCATGTACAGTAGTCTTACCTGATGCAACCAAGTTAGAGATGATCACTGTTGCAGTCAGCAGCACTCCAACAAAATCCAATAACCGCATAGTTTCGTATGATGCTCTTTTTCTATTTTCATGACTGTCACAGAATAATTAAATAGCTGGGCTCATTATTACCTTTCGAGTGTTGAAATCTACCAATGTAGCGTTCATTGCATTCATGGGACAAAACACAGACCACACACCCTGGAAGATTAATATGTACTGTGTACTATTGTCTGTAACATCACATGAAGTTCAACACGGAAGGAACCGTTTAAAAAGGGTCTTCCACTCCTTCACTGGAATAAAGAATTGATCACAGAGTCAGGGGAGTTCTGAATGCTCCAAAGTAAACACCAGTTCAAAAGTTTTAAGTTACTTGTGGAGCACTTAGAAGTAAACACCTTCTCGAGAGTTTAAGGTTTCATAACGTGGGGTTGAGCAATAAAAGTACAGGAATATCTGTTTCAATTTTATTCAGATTGTTAAAGGTGGACGCGAAGCTGTAATGGTATATGAAGGACTATTTTTCTCTCGCTGGGGTATGAGCTATTAACTCTAAAGGATCTTGCACAGAATTTATCAGATGCTGAGGCAGAATTAGGCATCCTACGTCAGTTTTAAACTACAGTATAATAAGTGGGAAACATTTTGAAAATAATTTTATGAAGTGAAAGCAAAGTTATTGTTGATCAAGTCGCTCACTCATATATTGGCTGGCTGACTTTCAGCCTTCCAATGATGTTTTCCTAATTTGGATCGTTAGATGTTCTGCATCATTTTCTTCAAGATTGATGCGACGTACTGCACTGCGTTTACATACTTAGTTTAAAAGTTTAATTTTGAAATTGTTTCTCATTTCATCTTCGACCTGAACACGCGGTATACCACAGAGCTGTTCCTACAGACTTTCAAAAACATTTTCAGAAGCTGCAGCATGCAACTAATTTGTAAGCATATTTCTGCATACTTTGCACGCAAATTTCTAAAATTAGTTGAAAATTCAATCCCACAATCTCAAAAAACCATGCAATATTTCCCGTCATATCAAAATTAGTGCAATGAAAAACGTTGAATCTTTTTTTGATTTCAGGCGATAAATTTTCATGCGTTTGAATATGTATTTTCCCAAATGCAAGGGGTAAATTATGGAGTATAAACGCATGAAAATAAAAATAACTTTTCATATCCAAGGGTGTTCTAGCTTTCCTGATTACAGAACTGCAGTACATGTTAAATTCTTGTTACAACAATAAGTACCATGACGAGGACAAGTTTGTGCGTAACAAACTTTTGAAGTCCCGACAGAAAGTACACAATGAATGAATCTTGTTACACCGAACTTCTATGAAGAATGCTTGAAAGATTCTTCAGGCACCAATTTCATGACATCGAAGGTAGGCGTCCAGTACTGTATATTAAATTTCCAAACCGAAAAGTGACAGACTAGTTCTTGTAGCATGGGTATTGCTGGAACGAATATTCCCAAAAATTGCAATTCGTTGTTGTTCCTTGACGATTTTTATGGAGAGCATTGTTCTCCACATCAGCAATTTGATAGGATACATTTTTTTCAAATATTCGCTCTGTGGGTCTTATATCAGTTATCTGTGACAAAAACATCCCATTGAAATAAACCAGCTGCATGTCCATCTCCAACTGTGTTATGACTTCATGGAGAACTTGAAAAGCAAAACTAGGAGAAAACCAACTGTTCTCCTACTGCCTGTAGGTTTGTTTATTTCACTGGTTATTTTCGTTGGCACACAGAAAATCCGAGAAAAAAATGTTTTGCAAATTCGATTCCTTTATATACTGGCGCAGGCCCTCCTCGGATCTTTGATCAACCACCAGCAGCGAGAATATTTTCATCATCATTCGCAAGACTTTGGAATCAGAATAAGATTCGAGTCTTTCCAGCTGCATCTGGTGACCAGAAAGTGACATACTGACGACTCACTCAAGGCAAAAATGTCTAGGTGTAGTAACCAGAATTGGATTATTTCTGGTTCTGTTTGATTGTGCATGTGAGATGATTGGATAAGCCCAAACACTTTTATATGAGGTCTCAAGCTGATGTGTGAATACACTTGCATCCTTTTCTAGATGGAATCGTTCTACCCACAATGTCAAACACAACTGGAAAGAATTTATCGTCCTCTGTCGGACAAGGCATCCTGGCTACTCTGAATGACGAAATTGTTGGGGGTATCAAGATCCCGAAAATTGTTGGCGGAACGGAAGCTAAGAAGGGCACGTATAAACTTGAGTTCTTCATAGTTCGCATTGATGGATTCGAATTTTGAAAATATAAAGTTGAGGAATTCCTTTATATTGCCAAATTTCCTGGACTTCCTGAAAATCATTATGATGAAACTTAAGTTCAAAGAGGGCTATCCTCAAAATTCATTTGAAAGCATTTCATCGATATTAGATGATATTATACCAGCACGATTTTTCTGGTGATGCGCCACACTGAAATGGAGATTTACACTGAAATTATAAAACATTATGAATATTAATCCTTCCAATAGACGATTGCAGATTCAGAAAATAACCAACTTATAAATATTTTCCCATTCTCCCATAGAAATATAGAGACATTTCCTCTTTTGGATGAATTTCATCATTCACAATAATGGACCGGCCGTCCTAAAGGTACTCTATTCTTTCATCACTTTAGATTCGTTAATTTGTTAAATAATCTAGGTTGAGATCTAACTGAAGAAAATTGATTTTAAACTTGCAGCCATGTCTCTGATCAGTTCATTCAATTTCAAAGTTAGGTATTATTGCCAGATTATACTGATGACGAAAGAAAAATAATACAGCTGCACGCTGACATAGATAATTTTCTCACCAAAATTTTTTGAGTCACAGTAAATTAGTTCGCCTCTTATGCTCAATACAATTAATGGGATCCACACATTCACTTAAAAATCAAATGCATCTAAACAGTGCAGGAAGGATATCAATGTATATTCAAAATTACTGGAGATCTGGGCTCCTTGTACTGAGTTTCTGCAGTTATTGTACAAATTTAATAAAAAAAAAGATTTCAGAAGATAAATGTACCTACTCTAAATACAAGCAGAGTTTGTTTCCTTTTTACAAAAGTGGTTCTCTTTAGAAGAGAATCCCAGACTTGTCAGAGTGTCCAAGGAGACTAAATCTACACAGTTTTCTAGGAGAAATAAGTGAGTAGACAAATTGGCAGGTGTGCGACCTGCTGGAATAAGCGCAAACATGTTCTCAATCCACAGATAAATATACAATCACCTTTTTTGGCAATCCCACACAAAATACACAAAGTAATTCCTTTTTTGCATCGGACTATGAGTTTTCAATTGAAGGAAGATGCAGAGTATTTTTTGCACAGAGTGTTGCAGTGACAGAGTTGGATCTGTCTGGTATCTGGTCCTGTGGTTGGTTGCCTATTTATGCAATTTCCCGCTTCTGGTCTGATCCAGGGGTTTGTCTACAGCAACGTTGAGGACTTCTGCCAGATCCTGGTAACTTTGGCCCAGCTGTCAAGTGGGCCAATTTATCGGGACAAGGCAAATTAGACTAGACTTTTTCCCCAAAAATTCGGATTTTTGGAATGAATAGAAAAGCCTAGGAAGAACCCATGAGAAGAGAATTTGCTTCGTTCAGTAAAAATTTGACACGGGTTATTTACTTTTTGTTTTTTGGGACGCCGGCGCAGCAAGCGTCAAATTCCCCGTATATTTTGGGGTAATTCAGTCCCTCAAAAAACTGAAGAACCCCCATTTTTTTTTCCGGGGGGACTATCTCTCTCTGGCAGCTTAACTGCCACCAGATGGTTTTGCCATTTGTCTTTTGGCACGCCAATTGGCAAGTCTCTTTTCAGAAATATAATCCCCAAAGTTTGAACTTCGGGAATGGTCAATAACTCGCATCAAAAACATGACACGAGGGTTGTCTTGACAATAATTCTTCACATTTATATTGTATGGCAAGTTTTTCATAGCACAAAATCCCTGAAATTCATGCTGGAACTTGGAAAATATCAATTGGACTAAAAACTTTGCTGTCAGACAATGTTAATGCTGTAGTAAAATTTGTACTTTGATTCAAACCAGATACAGATTGGCATGAAACACATGTTGGGACATTATCAACATTTTTATTTACTGGTGACATTTTTTGTGACAGCAGATTGCATTCAAGAAATTTTAAATTCAAAGAACAATCAGTACAGTCCAAGCAAAAAGCATTGGTTCATCACCAACTTGAGCAATTCTATTGTTACTTCTTCAAAGCATTGATGCATGGGTCATTCATTAAATCATAGGTATCTTGGCCTTGGAGAGTTAAGAACAATCAATTCAATCAAGTGACAGAAAAAAAGGCAAGAAGGCATATCGTTTAGATATGCCTTTTTGGCTAAAAATAAGTTGACGCAATGATCCATTTTCATAACCGTTGTATTTTCCACCATCTAGTTGAAAGGTTATTGGGAACAAAAATTTCCCCGGAGCAAAAGACCTTTTTTAAAAAAAAATTCCTGTTCCACGTGTGTCAGTCAAGACTGTACTCCTCCGTTTCCTCACATAAACAGATATTAGCAGCATATCTGATGTTTTTTATATGACTTTCTGTTTTTTGCTAAAGTTGATGAATCACCGTCTCTGAAGAATGAATGAATGAGTGCATACATGAATGGTTATTACTTTGGATTTGTGTTTTGAAAGACAGTAGGTTTAACTAAATTTTAAAATTCTAATTGCAAAACTGTATTCAATGTTTGAGTGCATGTGTTTGTGTTTTTGTGCATGTTTTATGCATGGTGTGTAGAACAATCCAGCTAGTTGTGCCATGGTGGAAAAAAAGTTGCTTAAAAATTTTGGAAGGTGTCTTTTCAATCAAAGAGAAACTCTTCACTGTCCAGGACTTCAAATTTTAGTTTCATTTTTCAATAGGGTAGGCTTCACTGCATGGAAATATCAAGTTAATTTTGATCTCTCTTTTTTGATGAGCCAGGTCAGTACCAGTACCAAGTAGCAATTGCGGCGTCCGATCCCAAAGGAGATTTTGTAACCTGTGGTGGAAGTCTGATTGCTGTACAATGGGTACTAACAGCTGCTCATTGCATTGGTGAAACCATCTTGGAGAGAGATGTGAGCCCGATATGTTTCCAATGTGTGCTATTCAAATTTTGAATAGGAATCTCAAGAATATGCATTGGGCATTACATAATTCTTCTCATGGAACCACAGACTTCAATTTTGGAAAAGTTAAAAAAGTTTGAAATATTGCACTGCATTTATTTTATAGTTTGTCTAAAGGGAATTAGTATTATAACGTGACTCGTGCTATTGGCTCTTTGATGTGAAGAACCACAAGATGCTTTTCCTCTGGTTAACTCTTCCCGATTGTTCAGTTTATATTTTTTCTAGACATCTCTGGAAAACAAGTACTGTATTGACGAAAAAACAAAAATGGAGAATATAGCCCAAGTTCAAAGTTACTGAAATTTGAATTTTTGGAAAGGATAGCTTTCATGGAGAAAAAATATATTTGATTAGGAATGTACTGTATGTTAAACTCTCAGTCCAGAGATTATCATTTTTTATGCAGAAGAAATAACATTTTTCTTGATGGTACTGTAAATGAGAAGGTTTGATGATTTGGGCCTCCTTGCAGCTGCAGTTGGAGACGTTCTGTCAGACTAAAACATGTTAGCAGGACAAAAATAATTAAAATCCCAGAGAAAAGAAAATGGCACTAATTATGCTCCCAAGAGGTCATGAAAACTGCAGCTCACAAAATAAAAAAAATAATAGAACATATTCTGTAAATAATGGTTTTGTAAATCAAAATTGTCCAGAGATAAGCTTGAAATCAGCCTTGTGAACATTTTTTTCTCTGTTTACCAAAAAGGGTTCCAAAGTTTTCAGACAGCCAAAGTGCAAGGTCATTATAGATTCCATTTGATACTTGCCACACCAGAAATTTATCTCAAAAATGGATGGTAAGGCCGAATGTACAGTATTTTGAATCAATGCATGGTTTGCATCATCAGGTTATCCTTGGGGACTATGACCTCACAATGAGGGAAAAGGAAGAGCAAAGGCTCAAAATCAAAAAAGTGATTATGCATGAGCAGTACAATGAAGCTGGGAGTACCAAGAAGCAAGCCCGCACTTACTTTGTCTTCCATGATATTGCACTCTTGCTGCTGAAAGAGTCCGCAGTCATCAATGACTTTGTGAAAATCATCAACTTGCCAATCAATCCTAAGGAACCCCATGGTGAGGGTCCAAGGATGCTTTTTGTAGTACTGTACAATATTAACAGCAGCCCAACCTAATAAGTTAGGCTGACAAGGTTTTATTTTATTGACAGGAAATTAGTTTCAAAGCCATGCACCTAATACTGTACAACCAAGTGGTTCGGAAATTTCAGCAGTGTCTGAAATGAAATGCACAACAATTGGCTGGCACTTGGTATGGCTTGGAAAAGATTTCCCTGTTGTAAAAAACGCATTGTTCCTCAAAAGAGAGGAGTACAATATACAGTATATTACTCCAATTGAAAATCCACACAAGGTTCTCATGAAGTTCTAGAATTCACACTAAAACAACTTGGTGTGACTTCGGTTTGCATTTTGGCACAAACTTCTCCATGGGAGATCTGAAAATGTTAGACGTACTTCCTAAATAAGCATTGAGCTCAGCTTGTATGAGATTTTTCCCCTCTTTTGTGGAATGTTATACCCAAGGTGTTTCGGAAGGAATCAATATCTTGCCAAAACATGTTTTACTTTCTTCAATCCAGTTGGGTGAGGCGTGTTTTTTTTCCAACTTAGCCCAATTGCTGGGTGTTTCAAAACGTATACAAGTCGGGTGAGAATTTGCAGGAAACAATTCGCGGAAGGTAATTTATCCCAAAGCATTCGTTTTCTTTTTCTCAGAGCAAAGACAATTCGACGGTTATCAATGCATTGAGAGTAGAATTTCCATGCTTATTGCGTGAAACAGAGGAACGATGCGAACTGATTCATTTCGATCTTAGGTTATACCATCGCATCCGGGTGGGGTGCTTTGGAATACGCGGGGGATACTCCGGATCGGCTCCAGCGTGTTGTTCTGCCAATCGTTCCGATCCGGTTGTGCCAATTTACCAACATCGTCATGCAAAGCCAACTGTGTGCCGGGTATTTGGGAGGCGTAAGTGACACATGCACTGGTGACTCAGGTGGCCCATTAGTCTGCTTCGATCATCCGAAAGATCCCCAGGGGGATGCAAGAAAACCCCAAAACTGCCAAGGGAAAGCAGCAAAGAGTGAAATTGAGTTCGGTTGGCCCAAGGAGTTTTCCCCGTCTCCATTCTTGTGTGGGATAGTGTCATATGGTTACCGCTGTGCTCAGGCAATGCACCCTGGGGTATACACCCGGGTTGGTTACTACCTTGACTGGATCAGTAAATCGATTGCAGCGAATCACTTCAGCGAAGGTTGGTGAAGAAGAAGAATAATTATTGATGGGAAAGTTTCTCATTTCCAGAGGAAATTTGAAAAAAAAATGTTTTGGCGAAAGATTTATTATACTATTTTGCCTATATGCCTATACGATAAATCTATTAAACCAAAACGTGGAAAAAAACTGTGATCTCTATCATATACGCATTGCGCTTTTGATTGGGCATTACAATTTTGCAGGCATTACAAAAGTGATTTTTGCTGGGCCTTTTTACTAAGACTTGCAATTGTACTTGCAATGGGGCGAAACTGATAAAATAACAATCAGTGCCAATTAACTGTGGCAGTGAAAATTTCGTTTTTGGACAAAGTAATTCAAATCATGATCAAAATTCAATGGAAAACAATCCACTATTAGCTGTGTTAGTTGATAAGAGAGAGGATATACTGATTATCTATGGCTTCAACTGCAGACTGGTTGGTGAAGAAATATGTTTTATATGCCAACTGTACGGTATACAGTAATTTGATGAAAACATTTTGGGCATTCAGTCATTGAATAATCTCTTTGGAAGGCCATTAAGCTTTAATCATAATTTTTATTCCATTATTGCATTAACCAGACAGATGTTTTCTGCTTTTTTGTCTGTTGTGAGTTCAAAGGAAATGAGAAAGGATTGCTTCCTTTTGATGCAAAAGTATTTCTGCATTGTGATTAATTACTCCACCCATTGAAAAGATTGACTATCTTGTATTAATTTTTGATGAATTATGTAAAGTATTGGGAATTGAGTACAATAAAGGCAAAAACCGGAGTACAGAAATGATAATGACAAGAGTTGCAATTGCCATTGTGATTGTAGTTGGGCAATAATAAAAAAAAATTCCATTGTGGTATTGATTAGTGGATCAAAAAATTGTAGATTTGCAATAGTGATTTTGATGGAGCAAACATTTTCTTGGCAGACTGCAATGGTGATTGGGCAAGATTGTGATGAACGACCTTGAAGAAGAGCCCGACCCAAAAATACTGGGGCAAGGGCTAACAAATACAGGATTAATAAAATACAATTTTTTTGCTGCAGTTAGTTTGTCCATGTTGATAATGCAAAATCTTTGGTATGGAGATCGCATTTCTGGTAAATGCTGTAATACCGTATATTAAATCACATCCACTCCTGAATCATGTACCTACAATGTTACCTCGAAGTTTTTAGAACCAAATTTGTATGTAAACCATAACAAGATTCAGCAGTTTTAGTCTCGCAATGAGTTTTTCACTGCTTAGAGTGCTTATACACAGCATAAATCCCAAATTCCTGTCACAAACCTGACGTCAGGGAGCAGAGGGCTATAAAGTGAGACCCTTCAAGTATGGATATCATGACATATGGACAATTTGACTTGGGAACACTTGAAAGTTTGAAAATGTCAACAGTTGTCCTGACATGTAGACAGTGACTCAAGATACTGCATCTGGACATTTTTCCAAGATGTATGGGAAACATTAATATCTTCTGAATTTACATACTTTTCAATATAAATTTATGCATTTATGCATTTAAAAAATGCATTTCATCATGAAGTTACCTTGATTAACCCTTTGGTGGTGGTAGGTTCTTTTGCATTGCGCAGCGGTGCCAGGATTTTTTTGCGGGCTCCTGCTTTTTGGTTTAACCAAAGGTCACAAAAACTCAGCTTTGGTTGAGTAGCCAAAGTCATGAAAAATCACTCAAAAAGAAAGTCATTGTCCTGATAACCCTCCGATGCTAATCCTATTTCAGAAATGCAGAACAAAGCCACCTGGCTGTAACTTTTCTTTGTTTTCCCCTGCAAATGTTTCTGCAGGAATGCCAATAAAATTGGGATTTCCCCAACTTTGGTTCTTCTAATAACTTTTGTCCCCCTTTCCTCTACTCCTCAGTGCACAAATTTTTCCTGATAAATTGTGGCACCACCAAAGGGCTAATATGAAAAAAGGGAAATTTCGTGATTTTTCAGTTTTTCCAGTATTTTTGCTCAATTTATAGCAGGAACTTTTTCTTAATATTTGCATGTTGATCTCTTTACTTTGCCAAAATATCAGATTCTGCGTTGATTTCCTCTGTAAATTCATTTTCTGTATTATATCCTGAAGTTGAGGAATAATTATAGCACAGTACAGTATTTGATTCAATTTTTGGGGGACTTTTTCTTAATTATAGATTTACAGCCAGGAGAAGAAATGAAAAATTTTCCCACTGAAGTCTGTGTGAAAATGAGGTCCCACATGCAGATGTTCTGACTATAAGGACAAGGTGCATACACTGCACAATACGTCCACACCTCAGGGGTCCCACTGCATATCACACCGTGAAAATGGATTTGTTATAAGAGCACGTTTGATGTTGTATTTGCACAAACATGTTCGAAGTATTTAGCAATGTTCATCTTTTTGTGAGATACGTATGAAACCCGTACAGTATTTCCTCTTTCATTTCAGGAAAGCTGCCATGGGAGGAACAGCGCACCACAATTCTTACAGGTCAGAATCGGGGCTTTTTTTTTAAGAATTCACGAGAAAGCAATCTCACTTCCGCATAATCAAATCATTCTGTCCATTATGATCGCAACTATTCACGTAGTCAGTCCTAAAATAATTAAATCAAATTCTGTCGTCAGGGCTGATACCCAGTTTCCGTATTGAAAAACACAGCGGGACACTTTCGTGAATACGTAATAGGTGTCGCTCCAAACAATGTCAACCTACTCCGCATATTCAGGCCGTGAAAAATTTGCACATTATTATTGATGGGCAGATTGGAAACAAATTAACTGTAATTTGATTCAGTGTGTTTGGAAGGTGGACTCATCAATTCAGCATTGATGGTTTCAACTGGTATACGTTCTATGTACGCATGTGTTATGCGTTAAAATTCATTTGCAACGAACTTAGTGTACTGTAAAGAGTGTAAACTACGTATTCCTGGATAACGAACTTTTGCTTGTTCCTTTGTAGATTCTTCATTTGGCAGGAAGTCTTGAAAATCTCATCTCATAGCATACTAATTTAAGGGTTTAAATAACGTCAGTATAAAAACATGTTCACGTTGAATATGTCCGACGGGCTGCCATATATAGGCATTATTTTATTTATGATGGAAATGAGCGAAAGCTTCCTTGATGTATGCCGGAAATGTGAGCAGGCAATAGCATAAACTGAGGAACATTTTTTGCCCTTCCTTAAAGATCACTTCCGTTTTTGCTCTTCTCAAGCCAAGTATATAGAGGTTTACCAAATCCATCGGTTTTTGGGTGGAAGGGGTTGGAAAGTGTCCAGGAAATCGTTCTTGATTTAAAGAATAATAATCGCATATTTTCTGTACCTTCATACCACCGAACACAGAAAACTACAATTTCCTCGGCATGGTTTCAAACGGCAGGGAGAAGGATCCTGGCAAAATCTGCGCTGGAGTTTTGATTCACTACCAATTTCTCCTCACAGCCTCTGAATGCTGTAATGAAACCTGCAAAATGAGAAATGATTGCAGATGTTCCATGGTGGATTTCTGATGTCATTCCGAAACCCTTGAAATATAAAATTTGATCATATATATACATATTACAGGTTGACTTTGATCAGTGGCGCATTCCCTTCTCAAATCCTATCACTATCGACGTTTCCGAACATTTCCCATTCGACGAGAAAAAAGCTTTCAACACGATCGCAAGGTAAGAAACTCGAAAGTCTGTTTTGATAATTCTGTGCGCTCGGTCAACTTTTCATTGTTTATTTCTTGGTTAGAACGTCAAAAAGTGCAATCTTTCCGTCAGAATTGAAAACTGAGCGCTTTCCAAAATCTTGGGAAACTTTAGTAGTTCTGAAGCTCAGAAGAACGGCCAGTCTTCGCGAATTTATTCCAACCTTGAATCTCATTCAAGATATGGACAACTTGGTTGGTAAGCTCGTAATATCACATATCTGACAATAGGAAGAAAGTTGAAGAACTGAGACATACCTATTGTTGCAGGCCAAGAAGCTACGCTGATCACATTGTCTCTCGACCGGCTTGAAAAGACCTGGAAGACTAGAACTGGTCAATTCCAAATAGTGGAATGCTCCGAACTCTTATTGCACAACAAGGGTTTGGTGTCCAAGACCAAGGATATTCTTTGTGCACAGCACAAGTCGGAACTACACTGCGACGTAAGCGGATTAAATCAAATATTCCACTTTTGTTGGGCCGATTATTCTACAAAGAAGAGAGTAAAGAATTGGACACAGCAAACAGCCTTTAGAGGCCAGATCCTCTTTAAGAGAGTCCCTTAATGCAGCACAACTTTAATGCAGGCACAGGGTGACCACAGAAGGACAATAAGTACGCTCAGGAAAACTCAGGCAAACAACAGATAATTGCAACAGTACAAATAGCTCTGCACAACCGTCGTGAGGCAATCCCAATCTCTGAATAATGTATTCCCAAAGTCTTCGTGACTTTGTCCCGGATTCCGCTGCCGGAGATCTGTATCAGGTAGCTACTGACCCGGTTTACCACAACGCAGCAAACCGGGTGCCTATCCGCTTCCGGGTCCCTGCGCTGCTTGTTGCTGCGTGGCATGCCCAAGCAAGGATGCTGCGCTTGGGTCATGCCACGTGGACGCAACCCCACAACATTCAACTTTTGTTTTGCATGGAAAAAACTCTCTGACCAAATAATTGAAAAAAAGAATCATCCGTACATTTTGTGTGCATGAAATCGTCAGGTGCTTGAAGATCGTCTGTGAAACGTTTAGTTTTTTTATGTGACACACAAAGCTATCTCGTGGCAGTTGTCAGTACTTGTAACTGGTCAAGAATTTGTAAGAGGAAGTTTATTCAATGGTGAGGTCGCAATAATAGATACTCCGACAGATATATGATGTTCGATTATGCACGAGTATCCTTCTGAGAGTATGGCTTCAAATGCTCAATTGACGAAAGCTGATTACATTTTACTCGATTGCTGTATATATGCCAAAACTTTAATCCATGAATTTCAATAAATATGACTTGGTAAAATCAGTCATCGGAGACACTCCGGCGTTGAAGAACTGGATGACGAATTTTTCGTCTCAGTGATTTTGTTAGTTTTCGTCAGGCGCACCCTTGAATAACGTGAGGACAAGTCGAGATTTTCGCGAAAACTTGACAATGAAGTAAAAAAAAAACAGCGAAGGCCCTACTTTCCGTCACAATTTGTGTTCTGACATAAGCCACTGACTGATATTGTGTTACATTATTGCTTGCACTCGAATTCTTCAAAGCTTAAAATCCCCCAAATTTTCTGCTTTTTCATCACAGGAAGCATTGCCGGGAAGTCCACTGGTTTGCTATGGAAATTCCCTGAACAATAATGCCGATTCAAAAAACCGCTTCCTCTGTGGGATATTCACCAAATTTGAAGGACCAACTTCCAAGCACGAGACGTACTTCTCCCACAAACCGGGTTCCAACTGGTCAAAGTATGAGAAGAGCATTTGCGTTTTCCGGATAATCTTCTTTCCGGAGTTTGGGTTTTCGAATCAAGGAATTTCTCTGCAAGATTTGATGGCTTTCAAAGGGTATATCATGTAAAAACTGGATGTCTACATTATAAAATGCCGACTGGATTCGAATTTAGAAATGAACCGCGTTGGAAACCCTGCTCTGAAATAATTTCCTTGACGCTTCAATGAATTGAAAGGAGGGGGAATTTTATCTTCAGACATTGATCCAGCCTACGTGGCGGTTGGTTCGTAAGTTCTGTAACTAATTGTTTCAATGGGTTCACCCCAAGGTTCAACAATTCTTTAAAAATTGTCTGTTGTTATAGGTCCGTCATTCACCAACCCGAAAGTGCTGTTTGCACTGGAATGATTATTTTCTGCCCGTTTCTTTTCTCATGGTTGATATTGTCATGCATTTCTGTATTCCACTATATAGAGTATAGTGAATCACTCAATTTGACTGGAATAGTCTCATTGATTTATCTTTTGTTACTATCGGACATTCTGACTTGGATCACAAACCTTTTAAACAATGAACCAGCCAGTAGAATGGGCTTGGTTATGCTTGCCCAATGCCTCACTGCTGCATATTCATGAAAATCAAGATTTAATGTTTTTGGATAGAAAACTCAATTGCTGCTTTAAAATTACTCACAGATAGCGAGATGAGATCTGGAACAGCATTTGTTTGTCTGTGAGTAAAGAATGAACATAATTTCAAAATGCATGAACTATAAACCTCATCCACTGATCAACTGTTCTTTTTGGTGTTTGAAATCACAAACTTACATTCTGATCTAGTGCAGGACATATTAAGATTTTCTGAGACTTTGTCCCACTTCTTATAACATTTGAATTGAAAGGAGTGTTTGAGTGTCAACTTTGCATGTATTTAACCCTTGGGCAGCAAAGTTGGACTATTTTTGCAAAATTTTGTTACACCTCAGGGCAGAAAATAAAAAAGGACAACAGAGATTTGAGGACAAAGTCAGGGACGAATCCAATGTTTTTTTTTCTTTTTGCACAGAAAATTTACTGGGAAAATGAAAAAAATCCTATGCTAAGCAATGGGCTTTTCTCAGATTAATCCTGACTTTGCCTCAGCCCACCTGGAAGGTCTTTTCTGACCTTCAGAAAACTGAAAACGCTACAGCATACAAAAATAATCTGATTTTGGATGACAATGGGAAAGAACCTTCCACCCTCCAAGGGTTAAGGTGACCTAATAAATAGCTAAGGCTATGGTGGTGGTGAAAACTATATCAGGCACACACAACCTCCTGAGTTTTGGAAGACCCAGTTCATGGAACATTTTTCCATGCATTCCTTTTTGGAAAACTTGAGTTGTTTGCATAAAAATGTCAAGCGCAAAAAAAGCCTGAAAAACAAAGATTCAGACCCAGCAAACTTACCTTGAAAAAAAAAAATTTTTCTGCTCTAAAAATCGCATGCTGTGTGCTCTATAAAAAGAGCTGAAAGCACATTTTCTGTTGATGTAGTGTCTCTAAGGGAATTCAGACAGGGACTTGACAAAAATAGGACTTATTAGGCAGATTTGACTTATGGAGATTCAACAGTACGTCTTTCGGCGAATATTCCCTGGAAATATTTAATCTGTAACTAAAATGCCAGATTACCAGAAACCAACGGTATGTCCATAAAAAAGTGCGATATGACTTCCATCATGGAATACTGTAAAAGCAAGACTAACAGGAAGCCAACTGTTCTCCTACTGTCTGCATGTGTGCGAAAATAACATCCCAGCTTTTTTTTTATTTCACTGCTTTATTTGTTAAGAAAACCTGATAAAATAATGCTTTTCCAATACTTTACCCAGCGGCGATGTCACTCCTACGATCTTTGATCAACCCCACACCACCCGCAGCGAATATCTTTCCAACGGGGCTCTCCGGAGTTTTGGACAAAATAGTGTCTTTCGAGCTGCATTAGGTGATCAGTAGGTGATTTGCTGATGGCTCATTCATGGCAAAAATGTCCAGCTGTAGTAACCAGAATGGGATTGTTTCTGGTTCTCTTCCATAGTGCATGTGAGATGTTTCCATAAATCCACCCCCCGTTTCTGTGGTTGAACGTTCATATGTGAATGAATGTGGGTATTTTCCAGACGGAATCATTCTCCCTACACCGCCGACGAACACAACTAGGAAGAATGTTTCGTCCTTAATCGGCAAAGACATCTTGGATAATCTGAATGCCGAAATTTTTGGGGATATGAAGATCCCGAAAATTGTTGGTGGAATGGAAGCTAAAAAGGGCATGTATACACTTGAGTTTACCGCTTTCATTTATAGATTGAACTAGTGAAAATCAGAGTCAAGGAGTTTCTTTATTATCACATTGCAGGGACTATCAACAAATCATTATGCTGGGAATTCCGTTTGAAGAGGGAAATCTTTAAAATGCATTCAAAAGCCTTACATCGAAATTATATGATATTATCCCCATAGAAATTTTATTGTGTGAATGACTGCGGTGATGGCAAAAAATAAGACTGAAACTAAATGTAAAAATATTAATATTAATCATTCCAGTAGAGGACTGCATGAAGAGTCAGAACAAAATCCAAGAAATAAATCCAATAAAATTTTTTCTGAGAAGTATACAGGTACGTATCCTCTTATTTGGGAACCATTTAAAAATTCGCATTTATGGACATGCTGCATCTAGAGGTACTCTATTCTTTCATCGGTTTGGATCAGTTTTCTTGTGGTGTACTTCAGGTTGAAATATAACTGAAGAAATGGGTATTGAATGTTCGGCCTGATCTCTGATCAGCTCATCAAAGTGAATTATCAATGGTAGCGTAGACTGAGAAATGACGATGAAAGAAAAATATGGCACATGCACATACTGATGTTCATAATTTTTTCAGCATCAATAAGGGGTTCACAGTAAATTTATTTGTATCATATGCTTATTATGGATATGTGGGGTCAAATGCCAGGTGTTTTTTACAAGTTGAATACATCCGAGCATCAGCTGTCTGAAAAAGAGAATACCCAAGATTTTCGAATTTACTGCTAATAGTGCTGAGTGTTCGGAGTTCTTTTGACTTCTTATAGCAATTTAATTATCAAAGTGCAAAATTCCTGCCATGTCTGTTGGAACTTGGAAAATATCAGGTGGGCTAAAAATTTTGCTTCAACAGTATACATATATTAATTTTTCAAGTCAATGACGAATATTTCATTCATAAGTACCATTGCATTTAGAAGTTAAAAACAAAGAATTGCACTGAGTTACAGAAAATGAGATAACAATTCATATGCATCATTGGTTCGAGAAAAAAGATAAGTTGGGGCAATGATGCCTGCTCATAAAAAGTGGTCTTCTCTGCAATTCAGTTGAATGGTTTATGACCAAAAATGTTCTGGGAACAACAGAAGTTTATTGAAAATAAATGTTGGTCATAAATATCAAAGGAGAGATTGTTGTCTTCCCTTTTTCAACAAAGAAGGGATGAGTACCATGTCTACTGTTTTCTGTATAACTTGTATGAGAAAGTGTATGAACCATTACATCAGAAGATAGAATAAGTGCATTGCTCAATGTTTCTTACATTGGCGTTGTGTTTTGAGACAATCTGTGTACCTGAATTTCCATACACAGTATTTTTTTTCACAAAAATGTGCTCATCCTGTGTGTCATTGTGTACATTTGTTTGTTTATATGCATGCTTTACATATGCTTCAGCAATGTGCATGTTTTGTATTGATGGGAGAAAAAGTAATTCCCAATGATGTCTTTTCAGTTGTGGAAAAACACTTTTCTGTTCAGGATTTATTCCAAATTGAATTTATTTTTCAGTGTTGCGGGTCTCTCTGCATGAAACTATTAGATTGATTTTGATTATATTTGTATTGCCCAGGTCATTACCAGTACCAAGTAGCAATTGTAGACTCCTCTCCCAAAGAAGATAATATATCCTGTGGTGGAAGCCTGATTGCTGTGCAGTGGGTTCTAACTGCTGCTCATTGCATCATGGGATCAATCTTGGACAGAGTGGTAAGTTCAATGTATTCAATATGTGCAGGGCATATTTGGATTTTGAATCTTGACAATGCATGTATGGGGCATTGTGGAATTCTGTTTATTTAAACAAAGTTTTCTGTTTTGGAAAGGTGCCAACAAGTTTGACAGTATATTCATTTTTTAGTTTATACAGGGATACAGTAAATCAACCTGTCTTGAAATATTACCATATTTGGAAACGCATGAGACACATTTTCTTTTGTTCTCTTTTCTACAAGAATTGGTAGTTTTCTAGACATTTCTGCAAAAATGAGCACTGCAAAATGCAAAGGTGGAGAAGATATATTGTTCAAGTTCAAAGATACTTGAATTTTTCATGTAGGAGTGCTTATGGAGCAAACAATCCTATTCCAACAAGAGGTGCTTCTTTTGTATTCTGAAGAATGAACTTTGTTTTTCTTCTTGTTTATTTGGAGGTTTTGAGTTTTTGGCCACCCTTTTCAGTTGCAGTTGGAGACATGTGATAGTACCAAAACATGCAAGCAGGCCAAAAAATCATGTAAATACACTCCTGGGGAATGGAAAATCAACCTCTGCTTCCTAGAGAATACAGTCTCCAAGATAAGCTTATTCTGATCTAATGGGAAAACACTTTCCTTACAGACAATAAACAATATGTTATCCTATAAAGGGAAAACCCTTTTGTAGCTTCACTCATAAGAGAGCACACTTCATGCACTCTCTCAAATCAATGACCACTCAACTGTTCTCCAACCTCATTCACTTTGCTTAGTTTTAGTAATTATTAGTTTTTAGGTTACTGTAGAAGTGAAAAATAAATGTTATTCGAAATGAGCCTGTCACCAGAGAGACAAATTAATTTGGCCTTGAATGATATGTGCAACTGAGGATTAATTTAATGCAGAGTAATTTGAAGTCATTTTCCTTTTCATTCCTCTGCAATAGAGCAATTTACCCAGTTCCCATCTTTCCTGTAATTGACTGCTCCTGGTTCAAACCCAGTCTATATCTGGAGTCTGCCCTGCTGTAAACACTAGCTGGTTTAACCTGGAAAGCTTGGTGGGAAATGTATTCTGAAAAAACAGATTTCCACGTTACATACTTGTACTTCTGTCTTGTGTTGAGTGTTAGGCACAAAACCCAAAGTGTGTGTTGATTGTGAATATTATTGAATAAAAGAAGTATTGTGACACACTTCTGATGTATTGTTCTTTTTAGATATAACAGATGTACAGATATTTCATGTAGATGTAACATCCAAGAATAAATAAGGGCAACAAATAATAGAACTTGTTGTAGAAGTAATGGTCTTATTATCAATATTATTCAAGGAGCCTGAAATAAACCTTGAGTATACGTGTGTCACTGTTTTATTGAAAGGTATTCACCAAGTGGAAGGGCAAGATCATTAAGGATCCATTTGAGACTTGCAATGCCAGAAATTTACCTTGAAAGTCTGTCAAAACTCTTGAAAAAAGTTTGGGTGTCCTCTGTACAAATGTATGGTTTGCATCCTCAGGTAATCCTTGGGGACTATGACCTGAAATTGAAGGAAAAGGAAGAGCAGAGGTTCAAGATCAAAAAAGTGATTGTGCATGAGCAGTACAGTCATCCTGGTTTACGCAATAAGCAAGCCCGCACCTTCTTTGCCTTCCATGATATTGCACTCTTGCTGCTGGAACAGTCTGCAGTCATCAATGACTTTGTGAAAATCATCAACTTGCCAATCAATACTAAGGAACCCCATGGTGAGAGTCCAAATGTGGATTTTCAGGATGAACAGCAGCAAATCTTCCAAAGTTGTGCTTCGTATGTCAGTTCATTTTCAAAAAATGAATTTCTTTAAGCTCATCAAAAGAGTAACTCTGGTTAGCTGTTATCATTTTATGGGATTTGCCTCAATGTACCAAATCCATTGGACACATGGTACTGTGATCCCAATTGCTATTAATTCTTGGATGGCACAGGGTTCCTAGTCATTCTGCTTTTGAGTTGGGATTTGGGGGGGGGGGACATATCAGTTTGACTGGAAGTCACTGAAATACCAAAAGGCTATGGGAAGGCCTCAGGCAGGAAAAATTGAGCAAGACAGCATTCTTTTGTCTTCTGTAATTGCCACTGTTAATCCTATGTGAGGAATGCATGGAAAAATGCCACCCAGTGAGGGTTTTTAAAACAACATTTTATCCAGGAATATCAAAACATTTATTGGATTTTTCCCCAAATGAAGCCTTGATTCAAAACTCTGATTTTTTGAAATGTCAGTGCTCATGGGTTCAAAATTTTGCACAAATATCCTAACCTTTTGGTGCAAGGATCAAGACAGTTGTAGACTTCTCTTGCAATGGTCAGCACATTGAAAAGTTTGAAATTTTATTCAGCCTTGCTCAAATTAAAAGGGAATTGAATGATGAAGAAATGGTAAATTGCTCAAAGGTTTTGTCCATCTCTAACAGGTGATCAGTGTTTTTTGCATTGATTCCACCACACTTTGATGATCAAGCTGAATGAATGAACAAGCAGAAAGCTTTATTTTCTGCTTTTCAGCATTCACAAAGTCCAATCCACATTCCCACATCCAAACACCCTCCCCACCCAACCCAAATCCATTAAAACACATTCAATCACTTCAAGCCAAAAGACTAATGCATAAGTAGTTATGCAGATTATAGGTTTATTATGCTCTCTTTTGGTTCAGAGTAAGCTAACTGCATCTCATTCCAGAAGGTCGTGAGGTTAGCCAGAATAATTGACCTTCATTGGTCTTTGAGGGAACCTTTAAGAGGTTCCCCTACCCAGTGAGCACAAAAATGTCTGTTTTGTGTCTGTTTTTTATCCAAAAGCAACTTGTCCGGGGATCTTGCAAAAAAAGGACAAGTTCCCAGCAAATAATGGGGGCGTTGGGCTGTGAACCGTTGAGGAAAGGGACTGCCAACAGGTTCTGGAACCCATTCTCAGAATGGTTGGGAGCAGAGCCCAACGACCTGCTGTGGCATTAACGAATCTTAGCATAGTGGAAAATATATATTTTTACAGGC